ACGTCTAAAATATCCTTAGTCGAATATTATGACAATACGGACATCATAATATATCAAGACTAATACGTATGAGATGAGATAGCTGCGTCTCATAGGCTATAGATAAAGTGTTATCTGAATCTATACGTAGGCAACCATATTGGATATGTTGCTGGATTGACCCGCTATGAGAATAATATATGGGTTTGAGTTAAAGTGTTAATATTATTCTCATGCGACCATTAGTATAACTATCCTTTGACTTGAAGTCATTACATTCTTTGGTAAGTTGGGTTGTATGCTTTGAGGCATGATTTATGCCATCTGAAATATTGGTGGATGTACAATTATGTTTTGGGTATGCAATGAAACTTAAGCAAAGATGTGAATGACGTAGACAGAATTTATCCCTTCTTTAATGAAGTATAATATCTTCGGGCCCACTGATTGATGTGACTTGGGAAGTGCATGGCCATGGCCAAATAAATATGTTATTTGAATTCCACAAGTCAATCGAAGAATCAGTAAACTATCGATTTAACTTTAACAAGGTGACACACCCCATACCTTGAGCTAAATCAAGATATTAGTGATAAAGGGATAAGGGTTATACAAATAGGATGTGTCGTTGAAAAAATTGTTCCAAAAGCTTTAATCTATAATTTGGGGGTGATAATGTGTTGCTAGATACCGCTTATCACTTGTAGTATTTAATCGATACTCTGGCCAATTTTATGGATGCCTAGAATAGGGTCACACACATAGAACATATGAAAATGTAGAATATTTAAGTGGAGTAAAATTGCACTTTATTTATATATTGTGTATATTATATTGTGTGACAATATGATTAGATACACAAACACATATATAAACAAATATTTATATTTAGATATTTTAATTATGTGATAATTAAGTTTGTCAAATATATTTAATGATAATAAAGTATATATATATATATTTGGATATATATATGTGTGTGTGTGTGTGTGTGTGTGTGTGTATGAATAATAAATTGTTTATTATTTT